GATAGATAGATAGATAGATAGATAGATAGATAGATAGATAGATAGATGATAGATAGATGATAGATAGATTAGATAGATGGTAGATAGATAGGTAGGTAGGTAGATATGTGCGTCTGAAAGAGAGAGAGGGAGAGAGAGTGACAGGCAAACAGATAGATAGACAATAAAGATGAAAAGATAGAAGGAGAAGGAGAAAGAGAAGAAATATGATGGAGAGAGGAAGACAGACAGACAACAAAGATGAAAAGAGATACTGATGACGAAGATAACAGATGATGATAGATAAAGATGTGTGTGTGTGTGTGTGTGTGTGTGAAAGAGAGAGAGACAGTGACAGACAGACATAGACAATAAAGATGAAAAGATAGAAGGAGAAGAAATATGATAGAGAGCGGGAGACAGACAGACAACAAAGATGAAAAGAGACACTGATGATGATAGATAGATAGATAGATAGATAGATAGATAGATAGATAGATAGATAGATAGATAGATAGATAGATAGAAAGAGAAAGAGAGAGAGAGAGAGAGAAAGAGAAAGAGAAAGAGAGAAAGAGAGAGAGAGAGAGAGATGTTGACACGAAGAGGGACAGAGAGCTACAGGAGAGACAAGCAGACAGAACAAGCCTTGACAATTGGGCTGCAGTGTGGTTTCCCATGCTGGATACAAAAACTCTATGATGTCTCTTTGCAACTATGCTGACATCCACTGTGCCCAACATCTGTCCAGCCAGAAGTGCAGCCTTTGGCAAATCACCTCTGATGACTCCTGCTGAGCTCAGCGGCTTCTGGCAACAGCTCTGCCCAGATGGGAAGCCCTACCCTTCCCTCTTCCTGCTCAGCCCCAGCTGTTACCAGACGTTTGCCCACCTGCTCTCCAGCCAGAGTTGAGTCTCGTTGCTTCTTGTGCAATTTGAATTTGGTGAGCTGCAGAGGGGAAGGGCCCTCCTTTTACACCCAACTTTGCAAGCACTAGCTAAATAATCGGGTTTTTCGGGCTGTGTAGTTCCTCAATTTCCCTGTTTTGAATACCTTCTAAGCTAACGACTGTGGCCAAATAAAAGATATTCAAAGCAGTGTTCTATCTTATGGAATATGTAAATAGCCAGCCTAGATGGGAAACCCCACTTTGAAAATTGGACGCTTAACATCTTCAAAATGAAAGATGGAGTCGAATAACTATATAGTTAGAGTAAATGTATTCTTACAGTCCTCCTTAGGACCACAATTGAATGGTCACTAAATCATCATCATCTTCTTTTAATAACCCCATAATTCCTTGCGGGGTGGAATCTGGGCAACTGAATGGAGCTAGCAGAGTATTTTAATGGCCAGATGCCCTTCCTGTCACCAATATGGAGTTTTGTTCATCCGATAATATTCTCAGTGTGCCCAGAGAGAGAAATATCTGCCTCTACCTAGGATCGAACTCACAACCTCCTGGTTGTCAAGTGAGAACAGCACCACTCCCAATTGAATGGTCACTAAATGAACTGTGGGAATTTGAGAATTACCTGTATATCCAAACAGATCCCAAGAGAAATTGAAATAGGAGTTCAATCGATAATCAGTTTCTTCGTAGGGAAAAGAAGAGGCAGAGCTGGAGGGCGGGATTAAACACACCATCAGTTTGGAATCTGTGCGTTGCCACAAGAGGCCCAAATCCAGCCCCTCTTGAATTCTGTTGACCTTTATCTAATGCCAATTTAGTGCTGACCCTTACTTTACTAGATTCTTGTTTATAGGCTGTGCTGGTAGTTCTCCACTTACAATAATTCATTTAGCGAACATTTGAAGTTACATCTGAACTGAAGGATCAGGTTGTCCAACCTGGAAAGATAAAATTGACATCCTTCTTTTTTGTTATCAGTCTTTACTCCTGCACTGGGCAAGTTGTAGCTTAGCTCAATGTTCCTTAACCTGGACAACTTCAAGATGCGCGGGCTTGAACTTCCCACGCTGGCTGCTTGGGGAATTCTGGGAATTGACGTCTACAAGTCTTGAAGTTATCCAGGTTGAGCAACACTGAACACTAATTGCTAAGATCTTTTGCAAGCCCTTTATACTATAATTCTATGGCTCTCTTAGAAGATTCAGCAAGGGAGGTATTTCCATTAAGATCAGGATGCTAGAGAAAACTCCTAGACGTTCTGAGTCATCTCCAATATTTGTTGTTGATGCTTTTATTTTTAGTTCTTTTAATTTTTTTATCTTTTTGAGGAACTGAAAAATAGAAGGCTTATAAAAGGCGCTGAAGCCATCAGTATAATAGAGCTGTGTGTGTATTATATTAGGAGCGGAACTAAGGCACAAAAAGGAGGAAGCAGAATTTAAAAAAGACAAATGTGTAGTTCTCTATATAGGGCTGGTCTGCCGTCCAAAATAACATCACAATAGAACAGGAAAAGGAGAAGGAACTGTTCTATAGAGATTCTCCCCCAAAGGGACCTGTGGCCAGACTTCTAAAGAAACATGAACAAGGCTGCAACCAAAAATAACCCATAATTTGGATACCAGCTTAGGTCAGGGCCAAACCTCTGTAAGTCTTTTGCCTGAACTCTTGTCGAATGGCCCAATTCTTTTACAAGGAATTTGTAAGATACAGGAGAAAAAAGCGGCTTAGCTAAAGTTGCAAAGAAAAAGAAAAAAGCAGAAGTCTTTAGTTCAGGCTAACTGCATCACTCACCTAAGGTCAGTTGGGTGATGGGTTATAGCAGATGTTTGTTGAGGTTGTCCTGGATTACAATTGATGTACCGCGTTTCCCCCAAAATAAGACGCTGTCTTATATATATATATATTTGCTACCCAAAAAAAGCACCAGGTCTTATTTTCAGGGGATGCCATCCACTAACTAACCTCGCTTGTGTGCATCGCCCTCGGGCCTCCTTTCTGCTGTCCTAGAGGCCTTCAGGAACTTCTTCTGTGGCCGGCAAGGCTTTCCTTGTCTCTGCAGTCGATCCAGAGCTTTGTTATTAGCTACAGAGGCGTTCAGGAAAGCCATGCCAGCCTTTCTGGCTGCAGAAGAAATGGGCCGGCAAGGCAGGTGTGTGAGGCCTGGCTACAACTGTCCAAAGGTAAGTATTGGGGCAGCTCCGCCCCCCCCCCAACCTCACCCTAGCTTAATTTTCATAGCTGCATATAGACTCCTCAAAGGTCTACATCAGAGGTCTTCAAACTTGGCAACTTTAAGACTTGTGGACTTCAACTCCCAGAATTCCTCAGCCAGCTGACTGGAGAATTCTGGGAGTTGAAGTCCACAAGTCTGAAAGTTGCCAAGTTTGAAGACCTCTGATGTAGACCTTTGAGGAGTCTATATGCAGCTATGATTTGGATAGATTGAAGGACCCATAGTGGGAAGTCACCGATTGATAAATCCCAAAGAGTTAAGACACATAGACTTTACTCCAGTTAATTCTGACCACAGTTACTTGTTTACTTGTTTTTATTTTAAAGTGCTCTATTTAAAAAATACATTCAGGTACAAAGAAACTGGAAGCAAAAATATAAAAAAAAAGGAATAAGTTTTTGTTTAGAGATATCTAGGAGAAATGTGCGTCAAAACCCCTCCCGCTCAAAATGGCGTCCACAGCCATGTGATTAAAGCATCGCCCCCTTCAACGGCACAGCCGCCATCTTGACTTTTTTTATAGCCCCTCCCCATAAAACACCCGTTTTGAGTTCCTTCTATTCATAATCTACTGCTGCAGCAGTCCAGAGTGCATCATAAAACAACACTATCAATGACAAAGAAATGTACAAAAGCGAAATAAGGAATGGCTCTTTTTTTAAAAACAACAACAACAACAACAACAATGTAGTGTAGCACAAAATTGCCTTTGGGGCTCGAAAGATTAAGAGGTACTCAAGGGAGGAAGGACAGGTCCATTTTGTGGTGCAGGGTAAATGGAACCTGTTGATGTTTAACTGTGAAGAGGAACCAATGTTAGACAGAGAGTAGTGAGGGACATATTTTGAGGTGATAACAGTATGAAGGAACCGGAAGGGATGAGTTAAGAAAAATAAAGCAGTTTATGTGCAGAGAACTCACGTTCTCCAGGAGTATTATTACAAAATAAGACACATTTCACAGTTGATTCTCCAAGCAATGGCCCCATAACAAAGATTGGATTGCAAGTGAGCCTTGGGAAGTGGCTTAAGGATCAATCTTAGTCCAACATTAAGGCGAGCAATTTTGCACCAGATTGGAGGACTTCATTGTAAAGGTTTACACAGGAAAAAAAAATCTCTACTCCTCTTTAAGATCTTTTCTTCCAGGAACCAGAGCTCCCAAACCTCAGGTGTTCGACCATTGCTTCTTTTCTAACCCACCATCCTGAAATGGGGCATTTGCAGGCCCATTAGCCCCCCTAGTCTATCTGTAGGTAAGTGAGAACCTTCATTGACCAAGGAACATTAAACGTCTTCCAAATAAAACAATTGGGTGGGGTTTTTTTTAATAAAAAACTAACAAATTGTTTAAAAAAACAGGAAGCAAACAATGTAGAACAAATATTTACATAGAAAGAGTTGGGAGCTTTCTCTTTTACAAAGAGAAAATATAATAAATAAATATACTGCAACTATTCTGAAATATAATAAGGGCTTTTGTTTGAAAGTTTACGACCGATAGATCTAGACACTGGCACTCGCTATTCTTCTTCAATAAGCAGCAGTAACACCAGTGGGGTTGGTAGAGAATCGAAAATGCCTTTGTCTCAAGCTGGACTCCTGAACAAACATGGAGCCAAGCCCTTTCTACAAATGAACAGACGGGAAGGAGTTAACTTGAAAAGCCACTGGCAGAGATCTTGTAAAAAATAGACCTTGTAAGTGCTAATCTGCTTTTAGGCAAAACTCATCTTTCTTTTTCGAGGTTGGATTAGTCAGGTCTCAAGGCCACCACACAAGGTTTTCCCATTAAGACATTCCATGTCCTTCCTGAAATATTTATTTATGATGTTATTTGTCCAATTTGTAGAACCACCCAATCTCAACAGGTGAAACTGAGGGTATCAGATCAGTCATTTTTCCTTCTCCCAAGTCCCTTCTTCTTCTTCTTCGTTTGCTTCCATCCAGATGTCAAGAAGATCAAGGAGAAGTTTCATCTCTACAACCATCTGAACTGTCAGATGTCTTCAGCAGAGATGCTCCTGAACATCCGGCCTAGTAGGGGAATGTTGTGAAAGTCCACAGAAGATCAGGCTTTACTGGACGATGAAGACTATGGCTATTATGTGCAGTAACCCCAGCCAGAATGATAAAGACGGCATGGAGCCAAGTCCCACTGATTTTGCATACTTGTACCCGCTGTCCTGAGAGGGATTCTCCAGGTATTCAGTTATGACGGTCTGATGGAACCAATCTTCTTTTGATACGCAGGAATACTTGCCATAGAGCTCAGCGGTCATGTTGTCAATGAAATGAAGGCAGTGACGGTGCCCAGAGCTGCAATGGGCAACTGGCTGGTCATTGTGAAGCCAGGTGTAATTGGCATAATGAGATTCTTGAAAGCAATTCAGGAAATAGCGGGAGTGTAAGGTCACATTCTTTGGGTCGGAACTGCTGCCATCTCCTGAGGAGAAGGGAGGAAAGAAGGAAGGAAAGGGTCAGTGGTGGGACAGATTGGGCCTCTCTGTCTCCCTTTCTGAATATTTCTCATCTCCTTTTAAATAACAGAATTACAGAGTTGGAAGGAACAGAGACGCAGAGACCTCTAGATAAATTCTCAAAGGGATCAGAATGAGTCCATCAGCCTATTTGGAAATAAACCATTTCCTAGTTCAAGGTAACTGTTCCAACTGTATATGTATACTTGGTTACACACACACACAGGGAACAGATTTGAAAAATAGAGGAAGAAAGCTTCCAAGCAGGTGGGAATGGCTAATTAAAAAACAACAACTAAGGTTTAATTTAAACTAGAGTTTCGTCCAGAAGAACTAGTGGAACAAGTATTATTGTCAGAATTATTATGATCAAAATAATAAGAGTTGGAAGGGACCTTGGAGGTCTTCTAGTCCAGCCCTCTGCTCAAGCAGGAGAACCAAAACCATTTCAGACAAGTGGCTGTTCAGTTTCTTCTTAAAAGCCTGCAGTGATGGAGAGCCCAATATTTCTGGTGGCAAGCTGTTCCACTAGTTAATTGTCCTCACTGTCAGGAAATTTCTCCCTAGTTCTAGGTTGCTTCTCTCCTTGATTAGTTTCCATCCATTGCTTCTCGTCCTGCCTTTAGGTGCTTTGGAAGAATAGGTTGACCAGCCCCTCAAATATTGGAAGGCTGCTATCATCTTTGTTGCTTTTCTCTGCACTCTTTCTAGAGTCTCCACATTTTTGAGGCCCTCAAACTGGTAGTCCTCATGAAGTATTTTTTTTCAGGTTGCGGAGAGATTATCTACTCCGTGTCTACTGCCAAACCAGTGTCATTAGATGACCTCTTTTCATATTTGTGGCCAAACCCAACAAATTAAAATTGTTTATTGGTCTGGTCTGGTCTTCTTGGGAAAACTGGGTAAGAATCCCTTCCCTGTCCAAGGTTCATGGTTGGCTTTCTCTGTGGTTTCCTCCATATTATAGAAAATGCTACTTCTGGAGGTTCAGATGGTACCCTATTTTCAGGAATAGCCTGAAAATGTTCCTTTTCTGACAAGCTTTCAGCTGGTTGGCATATGGGTGGTCCTCCCCACATTCACATTTCTGTATCTTTTTAACTGATTATTTCAGTTTTGCACGATTCGTAATTTGTTTCACTTTACTATCCACTGCCCAAAGTTTGGGGCAGTTGCCAAATATAACAAATAAAACTGAATTCTAATATGATGATTTTTATAACCTTCCATCAACTCTGTTTATTATTTTTTTCTTCATTCTAAAATCACAAAACTTTTCCCCCCCCTGAAATCCACCGCTACTTTCAACACTTTGTCTGGTGGCCGTTCTTTCTAACCCGCCTCCCCCCCATCTTCTTCCTTCTCCTAATTCCTTGTGGGCTTTTAAAAATATCTTTTCACAGATTTTGCAGGAAACATCTTCTTAAGTGTACTTCTTAAGTATGCTCAAGTTTGTTTATGAATATTACCTTCAGAGGCCAAGTTGCTTAGACAAATGTTTCGAGGAACATCATGTTGTAGAAACTGCAATAAGGTTCTAAAAAAAATGGAAAATTAAGTTAAATATCATATTTCTTCAATAATTTAAGCCATCAACGGGTCAGCCTGTGGCATCTCCATAAAAGATACATGGTAATCACATTATTATTTACGTTTGTTTAGCTGGTCAAAAAATAGCTGAAGAATCACAATCAAAATGTTTCGTTGTCTTATTAGAAGGTCATGTTCTCACACATTTTTACTGGGTTGCTACCCAGTAAAACCACTTTTCTTGGTTTGTATAATATATTAGCTCAGCAATAATCTGTTTGGTTGGGTTCATGCAAGAGATAAGCCAAAACAAGTAGCCAAGGTCAACGCTAACCAAGCTTCGCATGTGGGAACATATCTCATAAGATCTTTACCTGGTGGACCAGAATTGATGAATACACCCAGTTGACAAAGTGACATCACATTTATGTTTTAGAAATGCTTGTCTGGTTTAAGATGCTCTGGTGATCTCAGCCATCCTATGTGGCCATCACACCAATTATGTATCAATTATGTAACCTACCCATTTTCATGCTCATTAATAGAAGTGCATTTCTCATTGACCCATCCACAGTAGGGGTCTCTGGACAGCACACAACTCCCACAGTTGTTCTTATATGCCCCACAAGAGGCCATGGGGAGCTGCACCACCTCGTTTGCTGAAGCCACAATTAATTCATTCTGCAAAATAAAACAAAGGAGCCATTGAAAGGAGCTTTATTGACCATCAAGAGATAGTCAACCAGATGTGGAAAATGGACAGCTGCCTCAAGGTCATGAAACGCAGATTTGACATCCTGGCAAGAGGGATCAATGACAAAGGAAGATGGAAACCAGGATCCAACAATAGGTGGACACTTACATGTTGACCACTCTTAGATAAATTCAGGAGTGTCTTCACTGCATGATCAAAAAATTCAAGATAGCCACTGCAATCAAAGATCTACCTAGTTGTAATGTGTGTCTCACATGCAGAGTCCTCTAGATAAATTCTCAGTGGGGTTCTCGTAACCCATCAGAATGAGTCCATCAGCCTATTTGGATATAAACCATTTCCTAGTTCAATACAGCTGTTCCAACTGTAGCTGTATATTTAGGTAAAGGTAAGGGTTCCCCTTGCACATACACGCTAGTCGTTTCCAGCTCTAGGGGGCAGTGCTCATCTCCGTTACAAAGCTGAAGAGCCAGCGCTGTCCGAAGACGTCTCCATGGTCATGTGACCAGCATGATTAAATGCTGAAGGTACACGGAACGCTGTTATCTTCTCACCAAAGGGGTCCCTATTTTTCTACTTGCATTTTTTACATGCTTTTGAACCGCTAGGTTGGCAGAAGCTAGGACAAGGAACGGGAGCTCACTCCGTTACGCGGCGCTAGGGATTCGAACCGCCGAACTGCCAAACTTTCTGATCGACAAGCTCAGCATCTTAGCCACTGAGCCACCTCATCCCTTCTTGTATACTTGGTTATACACAAAAGATCCCCAAAGGGTAAAGATTTGAAAAATGACAGAAAGAAGGCTTCCAAGCATGTGGGAATGGCTACTTTAAAAAAAAAAACACTTTTGAATGTTGACGCCCAAATTTAAACTAGAGTTTCACCCAGGATATCTGGAAGCCGCTGCATATCCTGAAGACATTTTAGCCCACCCACAATCTTCCCCACAGCAATAAAATGTTTCCTATTTGTTTCGGACACACACTGTCCATAAAGAATAACAAGCCATGATTTGCTTTAACTGTGGTTTGCTGAACAAGCCATACTGACTGCTTTTACAACAAAAGCTATATACACCAGTTTACAAAGGAAACCAAACTTGGTTCAACACATACTAAGTCAGAACAGGTTACTCCGTAGCCTAATATCATGCATGAACCCCCGTCCTGATAAAGTCAGGGAAAGTCTTTCTTACCCTTGATTTGTCTAAAATCATAGCGAGAATGGCTGCCTGGGATTGGAAAGGCTGGATTTCCAGGATATTCATGGCTCCGTCTGGTAAGACAACCACCTTATGGATGCTTCCTTTGTCTGTATGTGGGATGAGAAGAAAGAAAGGATTAGCAAGATGAAGAAAGGGAGATGGATGGTGAGAACTGCTAGTGGTGGAACAAGTGACAAGACTCAAACGGACCACAGAAGCAACATGACATTTTCCACTTGGATGGATTTGAATACTTGACCATAAAACCCTTTAGAATGGACCTTTTTACCTGCTCTTCCATCTTTAATTCCCACGTTATGGTCTTATCCCAGCAATCAAATATTTGAGTTGTGAGAATTCTCTATAAGAGTTCTCATTTGAGAAATAGCCAGAAAGATGAGAGTAGAACAGGTGGCTATACAGAAAGCAACAACACTCAACAGTGCAGGGTATCACATCGAAAGCTGGTAGGATAGGCAATTGTGCAACTGTGCAACCTAACATTAGATCTCTCCGTGTCCCAAGATCACAGCCCAGAAAGGGCTATGGAAGGGAGAATGAGACATCTGCAAATGAGAAGCCAAATCTACCCATTTCTCCAACTCCGATTCCTGGCTATTCTCCGCTGTTGCAATCCAACCTTCATCTGGATCACAGCAAGAGAGAGGTAATTCAGAGACAGCTGTAGGATCCAGCACTTGCTAAGTGCAAGATTGCAGGTTTCAAGAGTCTTTGTATAAAACAAGGGGGGGAGATCAGCTAAACCAAAGCTTGATGTTGTTTGTAGACGAGAGAAGATGTCCAAAGTGCCTTTATATTGAGTTGAGAAGATCTCTCCCATAGCCACGGAGGCTTCCTACCGAACCTTTCACACACAATTTCTAAAACTAGCAAGTGTGTTACGGATTGCTTTGTCGGTTACCTGTGGCTAAGTACAGAACATCGTAGTTCTTGTCGTCTGCCGCCCGAACCTGGTGGACTCCAAGGTGCTGGTAGTGATGTTTGCTGTAGAAGATGGTTTTTCCATTCATTTGGTCAGCCACCTCTGGATAGCTGTCGATCACTTTGAAAGTCTCAGGTGGAGTTTTTTCTTCTAGACACTGTCAAGAAAGGCACAACGGTGATAGTCAGGAGATGGATGGAGAAGAACTTCCATGTGTCCCGGTGGCGCAGTGGTTAGAGTGCAGTACTGCAGGCTCCTTCTGCTAACTGCCAGCTGCCTGCAATTTGGCAGATCGAATCACACCAGGCTCAAGGTTGAGTTCCATCCTTTCTGAGGTGGGTAAAATGAGGAGCCAGATGGTTGGGGGGAAAATAGGCTGGCTCTGTGAACCGCTTAGAGAGGGCTGGAAAGCACTGGGAAGCAGTATATAAGTCTTAAGTGCTATTTGTCAGGATTCCGGCAATTACCCCCCCATTTAAACCATGAGTCTTGAGCCCAACTTCCAAAACTTAAAAAGGATTTATTGGGAGTTAACGTGCCGGCATTGCCTGGGTGTAGCTGACTCTGAGACACATCATTCATTGTCACTCATGACCCTGGTTTTCCCCCACCCTCTGGGTGTATCATAATTCATATTCTCCAATGGGACACATCCATAGCCAAGAGTCATCAATCATGCTCTCCAATTAGATATTTGCAGGGCAGAAACTTCAGTCACCTAGCTACTATCTTTGAAAAACTATTTATGGAATGGAAGCTGCCACACTGCTCCCCCCCTTCCTTTCTGTTGGCAACTCTGTTGGCAAGACCATAGAAATATTTTATGAGTTGACACTATTGCTGTTATATCTCATCCTGAGTTATCCCATAGTCTCCAAATTGACTACATATGGGAAGGATCGATTTTTCCACCCAGCATTCACCACTGCTGTTTACCTGTCCTGGCTTCACAGCAGGGGGTTTCCCAGTGTAGTTTTTCAGGGGAGACATTCTGAAGCGTTCGCTGATGTCACTAACAGAGTAGACACAGACGGCGGAATAACCCCTGTGGAAATGAGATACAAGGAATCAGCCTTCCATCAACGGCAACTCATATTTGTATGGCTTTCTATTCGATTATGGCCAGTAAAAGTGAGGCTCTTGCCATAATCTAATTCCATGCTACATCTATATCTTATCTATATAAGACAGGAAAGAAGGAAGGAAAGTTCCTGCAAGGGACGAAGAAGGTTCTTCAAAGCCAACCAGAAGTCCTCTGGTGGTGGTGATGTATGGTCCAAGAGCCAAAGACTCACCATTCATTTAGGAAAAGCCCATAGATCTTTGTCTGAAACCACTGGTCCGACTCAACGATAAAGATGTCTTGAAGCCAGTCAAAGTTTCGGTTAGTGGCTGAGTCCACACAGACCAACATGAGCTTCAGGAGAGTCGTCCACTTGGCTGCTGAAAAGGAGCCATTGCCCCCTTTGTCACCCTGCAGAGAGAAGGGCGAAAGGGGGTTTAGTAAGAGAGCAGCAAAACACCTCCTCTGAGCTTTGGGTGCCCATTCTAATCTTTTTTAAAACAGATCATTAAACTCGATCTTTTCAGAAACTATTTATAGCTCAAGAGTAAAAACTAATGGATGGAGGGTATCTCATTTCACCATCTATTCCTTTTGCACAAATCTACAATTCAGGGGGAAAAAATCTTCCAGAGAGGATGAGAAGACCCAAACTGGGTTCATGCATTCTGCTAAGGAATCATTTGTAGGCGAAGAGCAGGCAAAGCTAGGAGGGAGGAGTTAAGTGTGTCATCAGCTTAGGTTTGTTGCGTTCCAACAAGCACTCCAAGTCCAGTCCCTCCTGAATTCTATTGCCACTCATCTGGTGCCAATTTTGGGTTGAACTTTAGCTGACCAGATCCTTGTGTACAACCTTGAATAAATATTTTATGTTGCAACCTGGTCCTGATTCTTTGCTCTTGACATTATTGATTGAAGAAGCCATCACGACTGAATTTAGCTGTGGCTCTAAGCCATCGACTCCACTGGTTGGTGCAGGGCCCATAGCAAGCCACCAGGAAGTCACAATGGCCGGGCGCAATACCATTATTGCACCATTGACGCAGTGGTATGCACCACTGAATGATTTCTACATATTGTGGTGTCTGAGGAAAGTACAGGATCCAAAATTGTTTGCATCACAATGTGCCTGTCATCATTCACGCGGGATTGTTGATGGTCATGAGGGCTTGGTTCCCACCAAAATTAAGTTACCAAGATAGCCAAGTATCCCAAGAGCTTTTCAAAGCCCATTCTTGACCTTGCACACTTGAGCCACCCTGGAGATCTTCCTTGGAGCCAAAGGATTAATTGGCCAGTCAGGACTGTCCTCTCGGAAGAAGAAGTAGATCTTATCATTGTAGGCCTCTTCTTGTCGGATTGGCGCAATCTTCACAAATTGTGGATCTGCCAGGAGGGAAAAGGTGAGATTAGAAAAGAAAGTAGAACAAGCCTGGGCAGATCCTTTAGCTCAGAACCTACACAAAACACCCATGCCTGATTACTGTCAATCCTTTTCATGTTCACGCAATATGTTTAACCAAATCATAGGAAAAACCACTTAGGTGCTTTGGTTTCACACAACAAGCTAGGTTACGGTTCACCTTGGTAAAGCTTTGGGGCTTACCAAGTTGGGCAAACACAGAATTATGGATTAAGCTGATCACAAGACCCAACATTACCAACACATCAAACAAACTAGGTGTCAGGATTCTGGCAGTTACCCCCATTTAAATCATGACTCTCGAGCCAAACTTCAAAAGGATTTATTGGGAGTTAACATGTCCGGCACTGCTTGGGCGTAGCCGACTCTGAGACATCATTCATTGTCACCCTTGACCCTGGTTTTCCCCCACCCTCTGGGTGTATCATAATTCATATTCTCCAATGGGACACATCCATAGCCAAGAGTCATCAATCATGCTCTCCGGTTAAAATTTTGCACGGCGGAAACTTCAGTCACCTAGTTACTATCTTTGAAAACATTTATGGAATGCACTTTCGATTTCCGAGCTGCTGCACTGCTCTCCCCTCCCTTTCTATTGGCAACTCTAAAAGACCGCAGAAATATTTTATAAGTTGACACTTGGTTTGCACCACCTGCTGATCCCTCCCTGAATCTCTCAATTAATGTAATGAGATTGGGACTGAGTTAGGGACTTCTGTCCTCGCTGTGAGTGGTGTTGGGGAGGGGGGTGCACGAAGGGAGGCCCAGCCAATCTCATTGTACACATGTTGTACTCTGACAATAAAGGTAATCATAATTACCTAAGGCCCAACCATCCTTAAAGGTTTATGCAGGAGATAAGTGTTTTTTTCCACCTCCGAAGACAAGTTAGCTCTTCTGAAATCCACGGCCTTTTTCTGAGCTTGACTACCCCTCCCTTCTGTGCACGGAAGAGGCCCTTTGGACCCTGTTACATCAAGGCTTAAAGGCCAAGTCTGCAGGGGTGAAAGCCCAATCCGTCACTTTTGTGCTGTTTGGAACGGCCCCTGAGCTGGGAACGGAAAAGTCCTCCCAGAGGGACCTAAGGAAGGAACCTTGAATTATCTGAGGCTTGTCATCAGAAGTTTCCAACCTTGGAGAATTCATCCTCCATGATGTTAATTACATAGGAGACACCTGGATGGCATTTGTTTGTTTGTTTTTTGCTCCATTGAACTCCTCCGGGCCAGAGTTGTGTTTGTTTTGAGTCTTCCTCCCTAACCCCAAAGCTCATCTCCGACTTGGTGGAAGCTGGAGAATGCCTGGTCTCCCTTCCCTCGAGAGAGAACCAAGATCTGTGAACGAGGGAACCCATTTCCCATACAGAAGAGAAGATAAACCCAGAGGTGGTATTTCAGCAGGTTCTGACCCGCTCTGGAGAATCGGTAGCAGAAATTTTGAGTAGTTCAAAGAACCGGCCAATACCACCTCTGACTGGCCCCGCCAACCCTATCTATTCTCTGCCTCCCGAGTCCCAGCTGATTGGCTGAGTCTTCTTTGGTTGCCCTGCACCGGAGAACGGAGCTGGAAAGCAGGTCAGTGAGGTGGGGAGGTAATGGGGTTTTTGCAGTAACCTTCCCCCAGGAGTGGGGTGGTAATGGAGGTTTTTACAGTGTCCTTCCCCTGCCATGCCCACCAAACCACGCCATGCCCACCAAGCCACACTCACAGAACCGATAGTAAAAGATATTGAATCCCACCACTGGATGATCAAAGAAAAAAACAGAAACTCCAGTTGCCTCTTGAAAAAAGCACCTTTGGAACAACCATGATCTGGATGACTGAGAATCTCTACAGACATCGACATAAAAGCTACCACAGTCTCCTCTGAGCTATACTTCATTCTTGAAGATCTGGAGGACACATCCATGCTTGACCACAAGGGAAGGGACCTTGGAGGCCTTATAGTCCAACCCCCAGCTCAAGCAGGAGACCCTATACAATTTCAGACAAGTGGCTGTCCAACATCTTCTTAAAAACCTCCAGTGTTGGAGCACCCACAATTTCTGGAGGCAGGTTGTTCCACTGGTTAATTGTTCTCACTGTCAGGAAATTTCTCCTCGATTCGCATCCTTGGCAAGACCACTCTCCAATGAGTTATGGTTGCTCTGGACCACTTTTGGATAGCCAGGAATCACTATTTTAAGAAGGCCCCACAATGTCCCCATTATCTGTCAATATAGGGCACCAAGGGAAAATTGAAATGGTGGCCTTCAACCTCCTTGAAAAGAAGCTCCTGATTGGGCCAATTGGGGTTATTTGACTAGCCACCCTGCCACCCAACCAACCCTCAATGCAAGTCATGTTCTCACAGTAGGTCTTGAAGGCAAAGCAAGGACTGCCTGGATATGTCACCTTAATCCTCATCGCCAGACACTTTGTCAGGTATTTGCAAGGGTTGGAAAGCACAACATTGTCGCTCAATTGTCTCTTCCAGAACCACAACACTTACTCTTCATGACTGTGTCACTGGTGTAAAGTTCTGTGGCTCCACGCACCCGCCGAAAACGAGGGATCCGTCCATTGTATTGGTATTTCCGGACAGTCGAATAGATGTCATTGCCTAGAAGACAAGGAAGAAGAGGTTGAGACTCTAGAAAGATGGCAGAGAAGAGCAACCAAGATGATTAGGGGACTGGAGGATAAAACATATGAAGAACAGTTGCAGGAACTGGGCCTGGCTAGTCTAGTGAAGAGAAGGACTAGGGGAGACATGATAGTAGTGTTCCAATATCTCAGGGGCTGCCCCAAAGAAGAGGGAGACAAGCTATTCTCCAAAGCACCTGAGAACAGGATAAGAAGCAATGGATGGAAACTCATCAAAGAGAGAAGCAACTTAGAACAGGAGAAATTTCCTGACAGTTAGAACAATTAATCAGTGGGACCACTTGCTTCCAGAAGTTGTGTATTACTCCAACACTGGTAGTTTTTAAAAAGATGTTGGACAGCCATTTGTCTGACGTGGTGTAAGTTTTCCTGCCCTAGGCAGGGGGTTGGACCAGAAGACCTCCAAGGTGCTTTCCAACTCTGTTATAGTTACTCTATTATATTCTACGATGAGGAAGAAATTGAACCAGAAACTTCTCTTCTCGCCCAACCGATTCCAAAAAGAGTTCTCATAAAGAAGATCTGTCATTTCCCCCCGGGGATTCCATCACATGGATTGTGCAACGAGAAATATCTACAACCAGCCTTCTAAACAGAAGGACATGCTCTTCAAGGGGAAACTTGGCTTACAGAAATAAGAAGAATATGAAAGGCACCATCGTGTTTGTGTATTCAAATACTTACAAAAATTAAGTCACCCCAAGATCTTTTATAACATAATGAAGAAGGTAAATCTAGCTTTATATTCTTCCAACATGAGGTTGGAAGAAAGGGAGCTTCGGAACAAATGATCTGGAGAAGTCCCCTGGTGGATTCATAACTATGAGCTCTGAAATCATTTACCATCGATGAGGACAAGGGAATTTTTTTCAAGGCCAAAAGGTGCTAAGCTCTGGGCACTGATTCCTGGCCCTTTCTGCCCGTCGACCTGTAGAAGACAGGAAAACAAGACCAAAGATGAAATTCCCCACGTCTCGCTTGGCCAATGTTCCCAAAAGGAAAAGGGAAGAAGACGCAACCATGGACCTTACCCAGTTCCAGCAGGTTGGCTTGCAGGCGTTGGTGCCACAAACCAGCACTTTGCCCTGGTACTTCCCGATGAACGTGAGATAATTGACAGCTTCTTCCTGAAAAAAGAAATAAGGAAAAAGATGAAGGAGAGGAAAAAGGGGGAGGAGGAGGAGAGAGAAGAGGAGGAGGAGGAAGGGAGGGAAGGAAAGAAGGGAGGGAGGGAGGCAGAGAGACAGGGAGGGAGAGAGGGAGGAAGGCAGAGGTGGTATTCAGCCGGTTCTGACCGGTTCTAAAGAACCGGTAGTGGAAATTTTGAGTAGTTCAGAGAACCGGCCAATCCCACCTCTGACTGGCTCCGTCAACCCCACCTCTTCTCCACCTCCTGAGTCCCAGCTGATTGGCTGGGTCTTTGGTTGCCCTGCATAGGAGAATGGAGCTGGAAAGCAGGTTAGTGGGGTGGGGAGAGATAGGGATTTTGCAGTATCCTTCCCCTAGGAGTGGGGAGGGAATGGAGATTTTAAAGTGTCCTTTCCCTGCCATGCCCACCAAGCCACGCCCACAGAACCAGTAGTAAGAAAAATTGAATCCCATCACGGGAGGGAGGGAGGGAGGGAGGGAGGGAGGGAGGGAGGAAGGAAGGAAGGAAGGAAGGAAGGAAGGAAGGAAGGAAGGAAGG